AGCCACAGGGACACAATAATGGATCCAGATTCGGTCCACGCGCCCAGGTCGCTGGGCCCGCTGCAAGGGACAGCTCTGTTTGGTGGAAAACTGCCTAACCTGCCTCCATGTTGAAACCCTCTTATGTAATACTAATAAAATAACAAATGGACAGACTCTGATGTGAAAATGAATAGCACTGAGGTGATTATAGTTTTGGGGAACTCAATATGACTCGAACACAGACTAAATTTCCCTTTAAGTATTTTCTTGCTGATGCAGAGCAGTTTCTAAGTCACTTAACTGGGCCTTTTCCAGCTGGACTGGGGAGCTCTCATATTGATCTTTGGCACTGTGGTGATTCTGCTGAGTGGACAATGTCAAGTGAGCAGGTTCAGTTGTTCCAGCTGTGTCTTGTATAATGCAGTTTGTGAACCGTGTTTTGGCAGTGTCCTTCAATGCTCTTTATTTTAGTTTAGATTTAGTGTGACTGTGGAAGTTTGTGAGCTGCAGATGTCACTGTCAGTAAAGTGAAGTGCAAGAAAAGAGGCCCTGGGCCTAATTAAAGAACCGTCTGTGGTGATTCCTAGTTTATATTGGTAATGGGTATCACCGTATCCTCAGGGATGGTTTCACCAAGACTAGTCTGTACTGTCAGGCCAGTCATAGTTTTGCTCTTTGTGTAAGAAAGACAGTTTCACAGAAATAAAGACTTGTTTAAGCCTACCCTCTGAATTAAGAGCCATGCCTCCATGGTGACAATCAGCTATGCCTGCGGTCCAGTGGTACCATATAAGGAAAAGAGTTTTTCGAGAGTGCAATCACCTGTTGGAAATATACAGCACTGAGGACATTATTAGTCATTTGATGAAAACCCATAGCAGCCATAGGTCTGAGATTTTATGCTACTGGAATTGTTTTCTATTGTTGCTCTTGAATTGTACCAGTAAAACATCCTGATAACTGTTGAAACCTTCCAGTTGGAATGACAGGAGCTGTATGTGGTCAGCAACACAGGTCCTACTTAAGAGCCTGTTTAGACCTGGTATTGACATGTGTCTTGGGGGATCTAATTACATGTGGACAGATCTAAGCTCGTCATGTGTCTCCACATGCATCTCAAGTGACCACTTGTGGTAAACACTATAGGGCTGTACCCTACTCAGAATTTTGTTAGTCAGTGTTCATTATTACTGTCCTTTTGGCTGTTCAATATTAATATTAATTCCTTTTTTCAGTTCAGCGTCACAAACACTAAATACCAAACTTTTATATCAGTCAGTCTTAAATCAGTCCGAGACTTATGTTTTAGCTGCGCTATCAGCAGCTCTGCAGGAGATACGCTCTGTGGTGGCAGTGATATTTTATGAGTGAACTATGTGAGCAGGACACACACTTTTACTTTCTCAAACTGTGTGGAAATCTGATGTTTTCACATCACAGATGACAAAGAAAGGCATCAATGCCAAAGAAAGTAAATGTATGCATCCTGCTGACACCATGCAGCATCCTTCCTGCCTGGCCCTAGAACAACACATTGGGACAAATAGTTTTTTACACAAATAAATTAATGAATTTATTAATGTGTCTGCCAAATTTGCAAATAATAAAACATTTCAAGACAAGGTTTCACAAAAAAAGTTTCTCTGCACTCAGCAATTCTCAAAATTGTGTGATTCTGGTTACTCGTTAATCAGTTGAAACAGTGTTTTTAAAGAAAAAGCCTGCTTATCTTGGCAGGTAAAAGAGTCCAGAAAAATAATTTGCATTACAGTGAACTAAATACACAATTTTGTGCGTATATACAGGACATCAGTTGAGTTGGCTGTGTTTCAATGGGGCCAAGGATGCATTATATGGTATAATGCGTCCCAGACCACCTCTGCAAATCTGATCATAATGCATATTGATGGTTATTGACACTTGTAACTTGTTTACACGTGTAAACAGAGAGTCAAACTAAACAGTTTGAAATCTGACTGTTAGTTTGATCTAGTCCAAAGTCACAGTCTCTCTTTGTGACACTGGTCTCAGGAGATAATAAAACGTGTACAATGTCAACTGTCAGAATATAATATTTGATATGCTATAAGTTATTTGATATGCTCAAAGTACTACCAGTATAGTGCTGGTTAAGATAAAGTTCAGGCACATAAACAACATGGGTTACTGTCAGACGCATGACAGGATCATGCTTTGAGGGTTTAAGGACATATTTTAACAGGGTCGGAGGGGGTAAATGTTGTTGACAGTCAATGCAAAGATCAGAAATGTACTGGACACTATATGTTTGCACTTTTCTACTGGCTGCTTGTTATCTAAATCTCTCTGGACTAGAGAATCAAGAAAATGTGCAAAATATAAACTAAATTGTAAGGATTTATTATTTACTTTTAATCAATACGTATATTGGTAATCAAGTCGGTAATCATGTTAGTCCATGCTTCTGTGGTTAATGTTTAACACACGACTGCCTTATAATGTATCATATACATTTATTTGTCTCAGTACTGCAACCAGGGTTTTCCAGATTTATACTGTAGTCTACATGTACTGTAAGGGTGCTGAGACGTTTGTGAAATGCAGTGGAAAAGGTAAACAAACACCTTGAAAAACACAGATCTGCGTTGTTCTAGTGTCACATGCTTACACAGCATTATTGAAGTCAGTCATTAATCATACTCTACAAAGGTAACTTGAAGTTGCAACATCAGTATTATTTTAAGAAGATGATGAAACCCATAATGAGATGTTTCTGTACTTTCAGTGACTCACATGGAGCGCTGGAGAGAAGCACTTATCTCCAGAGCATGGTTAGAGAGCAGATCCCCTGCTTAGTAATTAACAGACTGGCTGATTATTAACATAAATCTCCTGAGTGTAATTGTGCAACCTGAAGTTTTCATTTGTTTGGCAAACAAGTTGACTCTGTTGAGAGCATCTCACTGGGGCTCGTCAGCTCTTTACGCAAGTTTTGCGTCAGTAATCAGGACTGCAGGGGATTGGACCAGGATCTGTGTCCAAAACAAACTCTGCCTCTGAACCCCAGCGGATGCCACCTCAGCAAATAACTTATTTGCAGGCTATCAGACAGAATGAATACTATTGCGAAACTTTTGGCAACAGAAGTTTTAGTGAAATATTAAATGACATGGAGAAGTGACAAATACTGCAAAGCTATTTTCAGTAAAATAATGAAAAAGGCGTACCGTATGGGTGCAATGCAGATTTGACACAAAGGAATTTGGCACAATTTAAGTACTGTGTGGAATAAAATAGGTAAAATAGGTTAAAAAAACCCACCTCCATTATTGCATCATGGTGCTGTTCATGAGGCCTTTAGTATTATCCTTGAATGTCATCCAGCAGGTGTTCCTCACCTCTATGTCTATGTGTGTGCTTGTTTTGTTCCTGTTTAGGATAGTGTGTTACTGTGTTACTGTGTTTAAAATGTCATTGTAAAAACAAACCATGCAAATAAACCTCACAACAAGAAGGTGCCTGACTTTAACACAAAGGAGTTAGCGTTTCCTCTATGTTCAGGTATCCTGGTTTCTTCCTGTAGTCTAAAGACATACAGGCCTGGTAAATCAGGGACTAATCTGTGAAGGTAATAGCCTGTAGATGATATGAAAAAGAAAAAAAAAAAAGAAAAATATGAAAGACTTAAAACGGCCATGTTTGCATTTATTTTTTAATGCCATTATCACAAGTTCATTTATCCTGTGTTCTCGAGAAAATGACTGTCATCGAGATTAATGATGCATCTGTTCCATAATAATATAATTAATTACATGTCAAAATGCTGCTGTGAAAAAGGGCCTGTAGGTTCTACTCCCCTATAATCCTGAGTAGTAGAAGCAAAACGATAAGTAACTGATAGATATGCAACATAGGGAGGATATCCTAGTTCAGTATCATGTATATACTGAAGGCCT